TTAAATAATTAAATTTAAAAAAATACTAGCTATATAAAATATATATATATATAAGTAGCCTTTTTTCTAAGCTAATTAATAATATATAGCTTAGTTATTTTAAGTAGCTATTTTATAAAGAAATCTAAGGTTAAAGTAATTAATTTCCTTTTTTAGTGTAATTTCCCTGCCAAATTGTCTGTCCCACGATTTTGCCCTTATCCCACGATTTTGCCGCCCACTCTATGAGTGGGGCTCCCTTTTGGTCAGATCCACGAGTAATATGACGCGTGATGGCAACTGTAAACTGCTTGGGAATGCTAACGAGCTGGTAAGAAGAACCCCTGGCTACTCTGTAGTAACTGCGTACACACACGAATAGCAATGGTTACCTGCATGATTGTATAAAGCTAGCTGTTGGTGGCTGATGTGATAGTAATCCCTTAGGAATCCATTAGACAGATGAATCGTATCGACAGGGGTGTTAGCAAATTAAACAGCTAGTATCAGAGGTACTTCTTACAGCAGCTAACTTTTAGTATTAATTAAAGTATTCTTAATACTGCATATTGCAGATTAGTACTTTAATTCTCACCAGATCTTGCCCTAACTATAAGTCCCTTAGGCAAATTAATTAGCAGCTAATTAATACTGGAGCAGATTCTACTTAAATATGCTTTATCTGTCTAATGGATTTGTAAGCCTTAAGGGATACACAAGGTTTAAGCTAGTTGTAGAACTTTACGTAATTAAAACTAGTCAATTCTGGATCTACTGTTCCCGCTGGGTTTGTTAATCTTTTAGGGCTTAGGAAAGAATAATTACCCAAAAATGGAAAAGAGTTAATGCAACAACTTATAGCCAGCTTATAGCTCCTTACCCAAACGACTATAAAACTAGCTTGCTTAACAGTTAGGGCTATATCTAATGGCAAATAGCAAAGATTATATTCAAAGCCGCTCTAACCGCCCCTACCTCATTGCTCTAGTCTAAAGGTGTAAAGTGTGGCGGCTGAACGTTGCAGAAGCTACTGTAAAGTATATCAGCGTTACCAACCCAATCCTTTTTGAGGCGTTATAAGCTTTAGGCATCAATCAACCCAATCCTTTGTCACGTCGAGCTCGGTACTACCAAGTTGATGGTCAAAATAAAAGAAACACCAGGCTTGAAATAAGACCAACGTTTGGAGTAATTTATTTCAACAGTTGTGCAACTGATCTCTCCTTTGGGGCCCATGGTACGCATAACACCGGCCCCGGCAGGTTATTAGAGCATGCAGTCATATTTTATATTTTCTGCTATGGGACACCAGGCGTCTCATTTCTGCAGGCTATCTCACATGGAAAAGTCAATTAGAGCCCAATTGATGCTACTTCCGTTTTCCCCAAACTCTTGCGCCCCGGCGAGAAGTTCATTTATCCAACCGGCTTCATTGATCGGAGACGAAAACAGTGTCAGACCTGGAAAGTCCCATTCGAAGACGAACTGATCTGGGACAAAAGACTCAAGCTCATTGTCGCAATTTCCCTCTTGAATCAGAGGAAAGGATGGCTGTCCTCCTTCGGGGCCTCCCTCATCTTGACCTAGCCAGCGCTTATACTTCTGTATACTCGTCTTCAAAAGTTGGAGGTATAGTGAACTGGTATTTGATCGAGTGTCGTCTTTGTGTCCCGCGGCAGCCACTAGCTCCAGTTCCTGTAGCAAGATGCTAGCCTTCATAACAAGCTCGTTGCTAAGTCCTTGTGTCTGCAATCTCTCTGGTTCAGGGAGTAAAGCGGACAACTTGAGCAGAAGAAGGCAGCAGAATGTATTCTTAGCCCAGACAAAGTCCATTGCATACCGAATGCTCTTGAGATATATCCTTGGTTCTTGGATGATGATATCAAGATGTTGCTGAAGCGAGGCTTTGGTCATCGACAAGATGTTCGTCTGGATGGGCGACATGACGTTGACGTTCTCCACGCCTGCAGCCCTCACCGCACGGCAGAGAGCCATGTTATCAGCCCAGCAGCGCTGAACAGACAGGTTAGGGACAAACCAAGGCATCGATTCATGATGCGGCTGTGAGATGCGTATCCAGTCCTGGAACCAGACATCAATGTCAAGTTTTGCATCTTTCACAAGATCGAGAATCTCTTCGTCGCTCAGATGGGAGCCCTGGGGCAGAGATGCGTATATCTTTGCACGAAGAACGTTGAGCTCGACTTGAGCAAAGAGATAATGGTCCATCCCAGTAGCAAGTGGACTTTGCAAAAGAACTCTGCATCTGCGTGAAGCACCTCGAAACTTGAACGTTGGCATTCCACCGGCATCCACATGCAAAATGTAGCTCATCACCAATAAATGCAGCCAGACTCTAGTCTTGCGCATGCGTGTAGTGTTGTCATTGTAGTTCGCTTGGTCCCCGTTATCGATCTGCATTTCTCCCAAGACGGATTTCGAAATGAGTGTATCGTAGGCTTCGGGGAATCCAAGATCCAAGGCCATTCGCGTCGCAATTGCAATCAGAAGTGCCCTCTCTCCCGCATAGCAAGCTTGAACAAGGATCGCCTGTACCGTCTCGAGACTTCCCATCGACGGATTGACGATAGCGGCATTGAGCATGCGTTGAGTCTGGAGCGCAAGAGCTCGCCATCTCGAACTCGTGCCGTTGAGTACACGACATCCAACTGAGCATATTGTGATAAATAGTAAAGAACTGTTATTGCGAATAGCTTCAATTGTGTCAAATCGTTGGTCAAAGACAGGAACGTAGCGGTCACAACCGGAGAAGAAAGCGTTGAAATACAGCTGCGCGTCGTTATCCTTCATCTCGATCCCAAGTTCGGCTGTTGTCGGGGCTACTGTATCAGTCTCGAAGGCTGACATCAATTTCCCCTGTGATCTAGTAAGGAATGTAGAAGTGTCTGGTGAGCTCGTGCTGGTCGACGCCACGGGTTGTGAAGTGACTCTTGCTTGTGCAGGCGCGTATACACCATGGGCTGTAATGTCCGAACTACTCGCTGCCATGAAATGCGGCTGATGCTCTGCTGGGTAGACAGTAGGTGAGCATCCCATCGTGGGTGCCGGGGTTGATCGCAGCCGTGACTTGAGAAACTCGATCTCTCTTTGGAGCGCTTCGATCTTGCTATAAAGATGAGATTAGAAAGGCTGTGGTCAGCGGTAACAGGGAAGCCTAACAGTTCATGGTCCGCTTTTGGTCTCTCGATAAATTGGCATGTCTTTTGTAGTTGACAGCATCTATGTTGCCTGTCAGTACTGTGAGTCCACAGCCTTCTTTGTAATCTACACACCGGGAGCATGGCCGCGAGCCATTACACTTGACCTAATTCAGATGTAAACTGCATGTCCGGAGCGGTACTGAAAGCCTACTGACTTTGCTCTGGCGACAAGCTATGCATGCTTTCTTAAAGACGTATGTCAGCTTCTTTCTATATGCACACTATAACTCGTTGTAGGTTCGCTGGTCTTCAAAAGCAAGGCGGCTATACCGGCAATCTTTTCTTACGGATACGTGAGGATGGGGCCGTTTGTGAAGTTGTCTCTTCTGAGGGTTGATGAGTTTGTGACATGTTGATCTCGATTCATCTTAATATGTAAGCCTAAACTGGCATTGAATGCCGAAGCGCGCTTCTCATGATGTTGGTGCTCTCCCTGGCGAATCATGTTTGCGCGGGGAAATCCAGAACCGAAGTGTTGTCTTGATACCTCAGGCAGGAACATCATTTCTCAGCTGCTGATAGGTCTTGAAGACATCACAGTGGAGCTTTGATCTCTTGTTCCCAATATTACGATCTTGATATCAGTTGTTCAATGAATAAAGACGACCAAATATTTATTATAATTGGAAAAACTAGCCCAAAACAATTCGGAGCCATTGGGCTATATGATCATCAGAAATAACGCCGTTGCTGGCTTTCGGAGTGGACTTTTTACCCCGTGGGGATTCTCGGCAACGAGATCGGACTTTTTGGTGTTTTCTCCGACGCGAGGGTGAGGGGTTTAGTACGGAACAGGTCACGCGGCAGCGCAGAAACGGACTTGGCCAGAGTTCTCCGGCGATGGCGTCGGATAAGATGAGATAGACCCGATGTTGGCTTCTTTTCGGTAGATATTGGCTGTAGATGAGGCGATACTTGCATCCCGAGCCCGGCAATGAATGCATGTTACGACAAGTTAAAAGAGGGACATTCCCTCCTCTCTTATCTTCGCTTTAATCATTAACTATTGAGTTTGCACATCAAAACCCCATTAATACTTCATTATGCCTCAACGTGAACGCATTCCTTCTTCGTGGACTGTCGATGCAGCTGGCCAAGACAGCACCAAGCCGTCTGTCCACTTGCGTTGCAACGATGCCACTCTCCCCTTTGAGTTCAACTTTGAAGCTGTCCGCCCCAACGTCTTCAGAACCACCTTCACATCCGCTACACATCCTTTACCGCCCCGTCCCAGCGTCCCTCGTGCTGAGACGAAGCTAGATGGTGCTGAGCCAAAAGTCACATCAACAGACAAGGGTACCAAGATCCAGATTGGTGATGTGATCGCCAATGTTGACTACGCTGGAGAGACCCCTCTTCTCTCTGTAGGATTCGATGGTCAGCCACCAATTCTCCAAGATCTTGACAACAGATCTTATGCTGTCAATGGCGATGGTGTCGCCCATTACACTCAGTATAACCGCAAGACGTTCCATGTCGGTCTTGGAGAAAAGGCTGCACCAATGGACCTCTCTGGCCGCCGGTTCCAAATATCAGCAACCGACAGCTTTGGATATGACGCCCACCGAACTGACCCTCTCTACAAGAACATTCCCCTCTTGATCAATGCTACACCTCAAGGCTGCGTTGCCATGTTCTCCACCAGCCATACCCGAGGAGAATACTCCATCGGCTCCGAGATGGACGGTATGTGGGGATTCTACAAGGTTTATCGTCAGGACTTTGGAGGTCTAGAAGAGTACATCATCACCGGAAAGACTCTTAAAGAAGTTGTTAAGACCTACGCTGATCTCGCCGGTTATCCCCTTCTTGTCCCTCGCTGGGCCTTTGGCTACCTCTCTGGAGGCATGAAGTACTCCATGCTGGACGATCCTCCTGCTGGCGAAGCCTTGATAGAGTTGGCACACAAGATGAAGGAGCATGACATTCCCTGCTCTGCTTACCAGATGTCATCCGGATACACCGTGGCTGAGCAGCATCCCAAGAACCGACACGTCTTCACCTGGAATCGCCACCGCTTCCCTGATCCTGAGGACTGGATCAAAGAGTTCCATAAGCTGGGTATGCGCTGCATCGCCAACGTGAAGCCATATCTCGTTTCCAGTCATCCCGAGTACCAGAAGCTCAAGGATGCTGGCGGTCTCTTCCTTGATCCTCACACAAAACAACCAGCCGTTACCAAGCTTTGGAGTGCCGGAGGAGGTGAGAGAGCCAATGGTGGTCATATTGACTTCACTTCCGAGGCTGGATATAACTGGTGGTACAATGGAATCAAGAAGCTCGCGGAAGAGGGTATCGACTGTATGTGGAACGACAACAACGAGTACACGATCCCCGATGACGAATGGGAGTGCGCTCTCAACGTCAATAAGAATGTACTCGAGGTTCCTGAAGGGCTTGAGAAACGTCCCCAAGTCGGTCTTTGGGGTCGCAGTTTGCATACGGAGCTCAATGGCAAGGCATCTCATGATGCTCTTCTCGCTGTCAACCCAGACTCGCGCCCTTTCGTCCTCACTCGCAGTGCTACGGCCGGCACTATGCGTTACGCCTGCAGCTCTTGGAGCGGTGACAACACTACCAGCTGGGATAGTATGAGAGGCTCGACCGCTCTGGGTCTCAACGCCGGTCTCTCCCTCATGCAATGTTACGGACATGACATTGGTGGCTTCGAGGGTCCTCAGCCTGACCCTGAGCTTCTACTTCGATGGGTCCAACTTGGTATCTACTCCCCTCGATTCGCCATCAATTGCTTCAAGACAGGCGAAGACAACTCGATCGGCGATGTCATCGAACCTTGGATGCACCCATCTATCACCCACCTTGTGCGCAAGACTATCAAGCGTCGCTATGCACTGATTCCTTACATCTACTCTCTGTCTCTTGAGAGTCACCAGACTGCTTCACCACCTCAGAGATGGATTGGTTGGGGCTACGAGTCCGACCCTGAAGTTTGGAAGCTTCTTGATGGAGAGAATCAGTATTGGCTCGGTGACTCCATGCTCGTTGGTGGTGTCTTCGAGGCTGGAGCAAGCAAGATCAAGTTCTACCTTCCCAAAGCCTCAGATGACGATGAGGGATACTTGAACTTGAATGCACCATACCAGTATCTTGAGGCTGGTCAATGGGTTGACCTTGACGTTGAGTGGCATGGCGCTGGTATCCCCGTCCTCGGCAAGGTCGGCCGTGCCGTCGCTGTTGGTCGAGATGTTCAGGTCCTCTCTCCCGGTGAGACAGAGAACGTCGCAAATCTCCCTCTTGATGACTATCGAGGCGTGGAGATCTTTCCTCCTCAGAAGGCATCTCGTGGTGGCAAGTGGCATGAGACAACGTGGTATGAAGATGATGGTACCTCTGTGTCAACCAAGAACAAGATCTCTTTTTATACCATTGCTTACTCGGCTACTGAGTCTGAGATCAAGGTCAAGTTCTCCAAGGATGAGAGCTCTGGCTTCGAAGCACCTTGGAAGTCTCTTGTTATTATCCTACCCTTCGGTGACTTGAGAAAGGTTGTTAGTGAGGATAAGGAAGTCGTGGACTTGGGCCTGAGTGCAGAGGGCAAAAAGCAATTTGAACTAAAGTAGATGTACTTTGTAGATAATGAGACAGTTTGTCAGATAGAAAAAGCTAGCCAGAGTTAGGCATTTCTGCTGTATTATAGTCTATTTAAATAGTCCTTGAGATTGAACCCAAGTCATTATTCCTGAATGTCATACAGTCGCGCGAACGTGTTTTGGTGGCAGTACTTCGCATAGACATAGTAACTTTGACCCCAAAACTACTCAAAGGCCTTCATCAAAGCATGCTTCTTAAGGAGAGATAAGGAATTTTCGCGGAGCTTTTCTGGTCGATTTAGGGATCCTCTTTCATCTGTGACCACAAATTGTGCATACTGCAGTAGCAGTGCGTCAATGGCGAAGGCTGGAGTATAAGGGTAGTCGGACCCGAATAGGATGCGGTCTGAATCTACCGTGTCCAGAAGCCCATGCAGTTGGGTAGCACTAGTGCTCAAGGCAATGTCAAAGTAAAAACGACCAAGGTCTGCCTTAGCATCAGCCATGCTATACCCGATCATCTGGCTGATGTCAGGTACAGCAAGACTACCGAGTGCTCTGCTAGCAATAAAAGGGAGTGTGCTGCCTGCGTGAGAGAGGATGATATCAATGCCCGGGAACCTGCGCAGCGTCTTGGTCATGATCAAGTCTACCGCCGTCCGGGTAGTGGCGAGTAGGAAGTCGATAGTCGGCTGGGGCAGACCGCCAGCGATAAACTTGGGACCTACCGATAAGCTATCCAGATGAAGAAATACGAGTGCTTTGTAGTCCTGAAGCTTTTCCCAAATAGGGAGGAAGAGTGGGTTGCCGAGAAGTATATCCCTGTAGGTAGTAAACACCATGACACCGTTACATAGCCTTTGCGTGAGGTACAGAAAGTCTATCTTAGCCAATGTACCATTTATATCGCGCCAATCTGGCAAGACACCGAAGAATCCTAGTCGGTTGGCGTATGCAGACTCGGTCGCGGTCATAGCCAGGTACTCATTGAGTGTCCTTGCAAGATCACGGGCAGCTTGGCCAGTGCCGGCAATCTGGACTCCGGGTGCCGAGACCGACATGATACCTGTAAGCGAGGCTTCAAGTCAGGTTCTGTCTTCCTATGATGTCTACTCGTTGCTAGTGACGTACCAATGTCTGTGCTTGTCCGTTCCATGGATGCCATCATGCCCTCAAGAGTCCAATTGGGAGTTCCGTATCCCGTGGGATCACCGCCAGCGGTATCTATCGCTGCGGCAAAGGCAGGAGGCAATACATGAAGATGGGTATCTATGCGGGCAGAGGCGAGTGCGTTGGAGAATGTCGAGCTGAGTGCCAGCGCCCGGCAGAAGGAAGTCAGAGCAGCATCTGGCAGGTAGTGAAGCAACGTAGGTGACGTGGTTCCAGGATGAGGGCACTGACGGAACAGGAAGTCAAAGACACCACTCGCTTGCTTGGACACTTTCAACGTCGCTGAAAGGACTAAGCGAGAGGCAGTTAGGCTGCATTGAGCAAGGAACAAGTTCATCTGGATTGGATTCCTGAATAATAGCTAAACTTGATCAAATATAAGAGGGTTACAGCTATGTTCTTTTATATATACAACGTTAGTTAATCTAGTATATATCCACCTACACAACCAAGTCACTGAGTTGCTGTGCCGTATTTTAGTTGCTCCGACACTAAGATAATTCAAGAAGGCTCGGCTTTGTGCTGAGGGGCTGTTTCTACAACTATTGCTCCGAACAGGTCCAACCTGTTGTTCCGGGGCTAAGCTAGCACCCTGCGACCACCCCGCAACAGACCAAACTAATCTTGAAGGATATTAAATAAGTTGGCGTAGTGCTGAATCATGCGGGGTAGCAGCACTGAAGTCAAAGATCATCGTGCAGAAATCAGCGTTAGCGTCATGGAGATCCTCCGTAGTGTCTGAGATCTTCCGAAGCAACACAAATCAAGGACTAATAAGGTTTATTTGCATCTGGTTGCACTTAGTCGTCGCTTCTGGGGCTCTCGAGTTCAACCTCGGGACGACGGCATCATGTGGTTTAGAGTAAGGAGAACTTGGGCGATCTCCCTGTCCGTTGCCGAGCTCCTCCGATCGGGATAACTCCAATGCCCCCCACAATCGGAGCCCACTTCCGCCCAGCTCGACACTTACAAAAGTGAAGCTGCTGCTGCACTTACTGATAGGGACCACGTGAGCGCCAGGAGATTATTGCGTACTCAGTTTCATTCAGTATGGCGTCCTCAAACTGGTTGCTCTACGGAGCACTGATCACTGGTCTCGTCCTTTTTCATCTCATCAGGTTGACATTTCGAGCTGGCCTCCGGACTATACCTGGACCATGGCTCGCTAGATACACGGGCCTGTATCGACTAAGTCTCGTTTACCAAGGCGATTCCCCTCGGCAGTATCAACTGTTGCACGAAAAGTATGGCCCTATTGTGCGCACAGGATCAAACCACGTCTCTGTCTCGGATCCCGCCATGATACCCGTTATATACGGCATAGGAAAGAACTTTCAAAAGGTATACGACGCCTTTCTATCATTGAACAATTCACTGATATAGGTCAAGACGCCCTTCTACACAACAATGTCGTTGATGTACCAAGGGCGACGAATGGACAGCATGTTCACGGAACGGAACCCTAACGTTCACAAGGCCTTGAAAAGCTCAGTGGCGCAGATATTCTCCATGACAAATATGCGTAATTTCGAGGTGTATGCCGACGAATGTAGCGCCATCTTCTTGGATGCGATGCGCGATCTCGAAGGGCAGAGGTTAGACCTGGCACACTGGCTACAATGGTACGCCTTTGATGTTATCGGGAGCCTCACGTTTCAACGACGATTTGGGTTTTTGGAGCGGAGGCATGATGTCGACGAAATGATCAGCAAGATCAACCACGGCCTCGAGCTTGTCAAGATCGTTGGGCAATCCGAGTGGCTGGTTGCACTGTTCGACAAATTATATGCTAATTCCTGGATAAGAGAAAACTACTGGCCTGACACCATGGATAAGTTCTTGAAGGTATTACTTTCCTCTCATTCTCTCTGGTGGTTCTCGCGTGGTGCTGACGTCTATACTCTTCAAGATTACCGAGAAAGAACTGGATAAATACGATCAAAGTCCAAAAGAACCGTCCAGGACCGACTTTCTGTCCCAGCTTAGAGAAAAGCAAGACAAAACCGGCAAGATCACCCACAGAGACATGATAAATCATCTCTCGAACAATCTGTACGTATTTAAGAGTCGCCATTGTTATATTCCGGCAGCTAATCTCGACACAGTCTAGCTGGGAGTGACACCACAGGTATATCCCTGCGTGCCGTAGTCTATTTCGTCATAAAGACTCCGCAGGTCTACGAGAGACTACAAAAGAAAATTGACGAGGCTGACCAGGCCGGTCATCTCTCAGAGTACGTGACATATCAAGAGTCGTTGAAACTGCCATACTTGTAAGTCCACCAATTGAAGACCCATTGCAACAGCGAATCCTGATACAGTCAATAGTCAAGCTACATTGAAGGAGGCCATGCGAATGCACTCTGCTGTAGGATTCCCCTTGGAGAGATATGTACCTGACAAAGGTGCACAAGTCTGTGGCCACAGTCTTCCAGCTGGCACTAACATCAGCACTTCCGCGCCATTGATGCATATGAACAAGGGCGTCTTTGGTCATGACGCACGGGTCTTCCGACCTGAGAGATGGCTGGAGGCTTCGCCAGAGCAGCTAAGTCTCATGGATCGCACCTTTATTGCGGTACGTAATCTTATATCATGCAAACGAAGGACTGACTGAATCTCTTCCCTCGTAGTTTGGACACGGTCCTCGCACTTGCATCGGTAAAAATATATCCCTTATGGAGATGGGTAAGTTGATCCCACAGCTCTTCCGGCATTTCGATATTGGGTGGGCTTCAGAGCAGTTAGAGTGGCATACACATGCTGCCTAGTTTTGGAAGCAGTCAGGTTTGTTTGTGAGACTCAAGAAGCGGCAAAGAAAAGAATGACGTGGAAGGACTGAGCAAGAAATCTAGATATAGATTTGAATCGGGTTACTGATGGAGGAAGTGCAAGCTACCAGAATATGCTTCAAGCAGACAACAAAGGCAACTGTGACACAGCTATTCTCTTCAGGAAGCTTCCACGTTGGCTATAAGGAACGTGGGTCTATAAGCTGCCTGAAACTATTCTAAATCTACACAGGCGAGACCACCAGACCAATTGGATTTACGGTACTATCATGAGCCCAGTCAGCAGCAGCAAACCTAAGCTGATAATAGGTTCCGCTTGACGCGTATAGAGGCGCAGAAGAATACATAGTACTGAGAGAAACATCTGTAGTCGTGCAAGTTTTAGTTCCACCGCTCCCATAGACGCAGTTATAGAACTTTGTAGCCACGCTACACTTGAGGCTGCCATCAGTCGGTCGATCACAGACCAAGGGCGCGTGCCAGAATGATAGCGTAGTTGGACAGACTATGACTGAGACAAAGTCAAAGTTGCCCTGGTAGGAAATAGTGCATAAAGGGTTCCCATTAACTGATACATAACCAGTACCCTCTTCGTATTTGAAGTAACCAGTTGGCCAAGTCAAGAAAGCACCTATCCACAAAGAATACTCTGGCAGGCCATTGCCATGAATAACTTGGCCATCTGCTGTACCGCCTTGAGCAGTCAACGTGAACAGAGTCGGAATAGGCAGGAGAGCGGTTGTTGTAGAGACTTCTTCAATAATTGTCGTGGAAGTTGGCCATTCGGTGGTAGTCGTCGTTATTGCCTCCAGGGTTGTATCAGTAGAGATCTGCGTCGAAGATACCGCGGAGTCAGTGGTAGACTCTGTAGCCGTGGTAGGCTCCGTAGTCCCAGTAGACTCTATCGTCGTGACTGAAGCATCGATCGAAGTTGTCAATTCAGCTGATGTTGAGATGGATGGCTCAGACACCGCTGTACTGGTGACCTCAGTTGACGTTGCTGCGGAAATACCAGACGATGCAACCAAAGTCGTAGACCCAAGATCAGCAACAGGGGTGGACTCGGAGATCATGATCGTCGTTGTTCCTGTCAACTCCGTCTGCTCGCTCGACGCCGTCGTATCTGACAATGGTGCTGAAGAGCTAACTATTGAAGAGAAAGTGGACTCGGAAATCGCGAGAGTGGTTGTTGTCGTCGAGTCTAACTGTTCGGTCGCTTTCGTGGTGTCTGTCGACGATGTTGAAGATAGCCCCAGGCTTTCTGTGGTGGTGGTAGTAGCTAATTTGGGATATTAGTAACTTGAGCAAGTAATGTTACAACTGAACTCACTGAACGAGTTTGGCTTGCAAGGACCAGCGACTACAGACTCAAGCCCAAAGGCCAGGGACAAGAGAAGCGCCAAATGCATAACCGCCGTTAAAGAGCGAAAGAATAAACCGAACATCAAAACCGAGAAGTCGAAGGAGAACAAGTGCTGACAAAGGGAGATCAAAACCTTTTATAGTTATTTTCTCCTTTATTATTTAAGGCGCTAATTTGGACAAGACCGTTCTAAAACCAATGGTCTCTTGTAGTTTCTTATAGTTAAAGATTTAGCGCGAAAATCTTCAGCGCTATTGGATACCGCTGTGGCGGTAATTTTAAGAGAATTAATGGTACTAAGCGGCTCGAGGTTCTCTATGGATTAAAATGAAGAAGCCTGCCTTCCCAACGATGTCGCGTTAACTATTTTTGCTCTTAGCTCGATATCCTTAGACTCCAGGCGTTGAATCGTGTAAATACATACCTAATAAAGATCGGAGGGGATAGCGAAGGACTTTCTGCCGCCGCGCAATCTTACCGAGGTGGCCAATGGTGGGTGACTAGACAAGCTAATCAAGCTGCCATAGCCAAGTAGACCCTTGCCTGGTTCAACTTGGACGAGGGTCTTGGTGAATTTGCTTTACATGTGCTTTGTCGCGGTTCGACCAGCAGGACCATCGTGTCAACCCCTAGCGTATATTTGCCGTTACTGCACTTTCGCGTATGTGAGAGAGTTGAGGAGACTGGCCGACAATAGCCGTAATTGTGGATCTTTTCGATCTGTGTAGCTAGCGGATAAGAATGATGACCTTCACTAAACCATCAGTAGCACGATTGGCGCTCCAGTTCGCATCGGGCTATAGGAAGAGGGTAGTAAATGAACGTTCTGCTAGACAGCTTATGGTCTCTAAGCTTACTGCATTTAACTCCCCTACCCAATCTCTAAGTAGTGATAACAAATGAGACCAATAAAGAATAATGATTTAGATAAACCTATCTTGCTTATTATTCTACCCTAGTTCAAGAATCGAAGTAACAAGTACTGTTATTCAATACTCTTAGTCTCCTCTCTGCAATTCTATCCAACCTATGCGGATATCAACACGTCGCTCGATGATCTCAGAGCTTTGGAATAGGAACAACAGCATCAGCAATGCCATTGTACTTCTTGTCTCCAAAGTTGCCACCGTTCCCGAGCAACAGTCGCTTAGTTCCCTTGATAGTAATCTCTCTGACACTACGAGAGTAGGCAGACCAGTGATTGATGTCGACCTTCTTCCACTTTCCCTCTACTGGATTATCGCCTTGAATCAGAAGGTTCTCGGAAGAAGTGGTGCTGATGATGATGATACCAGAGCCGTTGTTGGTATAAGGGTCACGAACCCAAGTCACGTATGGTCCACTGGTGAACAAACTACCGTCGGTGGCTTGGAGTCTGGTACCAGGAATGGGCCCAAATGTAAGAGGGCTATCGGAGATTTTGTAATAGATTCTGCAGGAATCCACGCCGCAGCGTTCCCAAGTCATGATCCACTTGTCAGTGCTCTCGATGTGAGCCACAGTGGTCATACCAGGGCGAGCGTCATAGTTGCTCTCAGCTTCATCCTCGACAATGTCTGACCAATTCTTAAGATCGGTGGTGGTAGTGTGAACGAGCTTCTGGGCATGCTTCGGGTCTCGCTGGTCAGAGTAATAACAAACCAGTTTTCCGCCATACATCAGGAAGAAGGGCTCCCATAGTGCTTTATTTCCATTTTGAATGGTGTTTGGTCCATCACCCTACGCAATATGAGACACAAACTCCCAAGTCTTTGCGCCGTCTTTACTGGCGTAGACGTCGATGTAAACACTACCTTTCAGGCTTTCAGGGGTCGAAACACCAGCTGCGAGTATAGTGCCCTTGGCATAACCGCCAAAGTCGGTGGGAAGCGTGTACAGGAATGGCTGGAAACGCATACCCCAGCCGTTCTGTGTGTCTTTGACGGCACTAAAATTGGACCAAGTCGCACCCCCATCGACCGACTTGTAGATCGGGTCTAACCAGAATGTTAACCTCCGCAGGATATAAACACACAATAATCAAAAGACGTACGATTGACGGGGTATTCTTTGGACTCAGCTGGGTAATTTTCCCAGGTCATAAGCAGGGACTCGTCGGGCAATTGGAGTGACCGAGCATAGAGTGTACCCCAGAGCTGAGCATCAGCCGCAGGCTTGAAGAATTCGTTCCTGGTGAAGTTGGAGAAGGGAGTAGGGGCACGTTTATCAAGTGCAGCACCATAAGTGGTGGCCAAACAGGCCAGGCCAAGAAGAAGAGACCTCATCATGTTTGGTAAGAAGAGTAAGTTAATGAAGCTTTGTTAGTTATTGTCGTCTGGGGTAGAGAACAAGTTTATGAGATAAAAGATAAGGAATTGAAGAAGTCTTATATACTCGAGATTGAGCACAGTGAACCCCTCTCAAAGAAGTATCACTTCAGACACCAATACTGTACCCGACCAAGTATCCGAAAATACGAGCAAAGGAGACCCAAACGCGCCAATGGCATAACTACCGGCTTCTGACTTTAGCCAAATAACGTGTCAAGAATTCATGGCATATTCTGCTATGCAAGGAGATAATCTGGGGATTCTGGGGTAACTAGTGTCTGTGCGTCCGTCCACCTTTCTCATTCTGATCATCAGCTGATGACCTTCGGTGTTTGGCCCGACACTCCGCAGATTGAGTTCGCCTAAGTTGTGGTCGGACATGACCCGATACTCCGCGATCAAAAGATGGCACGATCACTCATTCACGTGTCGTCCTACTATGGAACTGTCTCCCATCACAGGCTGTCATATTTCTTTCCCACTTGAAGAAACCGGTATCATCTTTTCAACCATCTCGCACACATACAGCATACATTCTCCATTACATCATCTTTTGCAGCCCAATCACTATGAAGAGCGCTACCCTACCAATCCAGACGCATCGGCACCAGGCTCAGGATCATGAAATCTCGCAGCCTCTGACTTTCGACAAGGCCGTCAAGGAAGTCAAACATGGCCAAGATCCTTCAGCTGTTGCCGTCCGCCTCCTGGCAGAAATGTCATCAGCCGAGCGTTTACATCTCCTGGATGGAGACGTGCCTTTTTGGGATGGTCTGCGGGAAATACTTTGCGATCGTTACAACCGCAAACCATTTGTCATGGGCGCCATCCCTCGTCTCAACATTCCAGGAATCAGGTTTACTGATGGGCCCAGGGGCATTGTCATGGGCTCGTCGACTGCCTTTCCGATTGCCATGGCACGCGGTGCAACCTGGGATATCGAGCTTGAACGGCGTATCGGTAATGCTATTGGACTTGAAGGCAAAGCCCAGGGCGCCAATCTCTTCGCCGGGGTATGCATCAACCTCCCGCGCCATCCAGCGTGGGGTCGCATCCAAGAAACATATGGAGAAGATCCGATCTTGTTGGGTGAATTTGGCTCTGCTCTCACACAAGGCGTTCAAAACCATATCATGGCTTGCGTGAAGCACTTTGCTTTGAACTCGATAGAGAACGCTCGGTTTCGAGTTGATGTACAAGTGGACGAAGACGTGCTTCATGAAGTATACCTCGCTCACTTCAAGAGAGTTATCGAAGCCGGCGCAGCATCAGTCATGTCCTCGTATAACTCGGTCAACGGAGAGTGGGCTGGGCAAAGCAGGCTCTTACTTACAGATATCTTGCGCGACCAGTGGAACTTCACTGGATTCGTCATGTCAGATTTCATTTTCGGTCTGAGAAATGCTGCGACTTCTCTTAAGAACGGCTTGGACATTGAAGCTCCTTTTGCACAACAACGGGCAATGCATCTCGATGATGCACTGAGGAGTGGTGAGCTATCCCAGGTTGATATAGGCAGAGCAGCCATGAACATTCTGCGCACGAAGCTCGAATTTGGCTCTCTTCTTATCCAAGAACCGCCTAATAAGTCGGTTGTCTTCTGTGAAGAACATCGACAGCTCGCCAGAGAGGTTGCAGGACGATCAATGGTGCTTCTCAAGAATGATGCTATCAATGGCAATCCGGTTCTTCCACTCAAAGCAGAAGCTCCATCTCGCTTGGCTGTCGTTGGCCGTCTGGCAAACAAGCCCAACACGGGTGACAAGGGATCCTCGCAGGTTTTCTCACCCACCATAGTCACCCCCTACCAAGGACTCAAGAGCGAGATTCCAAGCGCAGATGTCATTCTCGAAGATAGCGACAATCCAGAAGCCGCTCGAGAGGCCGCAAAGCAAGCAGATGTTGCTGTTGTTATCGTAGGCTACGACGCCGGGGATGAGGGCGAATATGTAGTGCCTTCTCTCCAGAACGACCCTTGTTTATCTGAACTTTTTCCCCCGACGAGGAATCCTGATGAGGAAGAGATGTTGTCGATTGTGCAGGGAAAGCCGACGCAAGGAAAACAAGAATCAGCACTGGAAGTTGGCGCTGGTGGCGACCGACGATCCCTGCGATTAAGACCTCGAGACGTCCAGGTTATCGGTGCCGTGGCATCTGTCAACTCGCATACAATCGTCGTGCTTGTTTGCGCCGGCGCTGTCATAATGGAGGAATGGAAGGATAAGCCACCTGCTATCTTGATCAGTTGGTACGCTGGGGCAGAGGGTGGCTATGCACTCGCAGTCGTCTTGCTTGGACGTGTTGATACTGGAGGTAGATTGCCATTCTCTATCCCTAAGGATGAAAGCCACCTCCCAGAACTTGATATCGAAGCATCAAGCATCAAATATGATCGTTGGTACGGCCAAGCTCTGCTCGATAAGCTTGGAGTCGATGCGGCGTTTCCACTCGGTTATGGGCTGTCCTATACCAAGTTTCGATTCAAGAACCTTGACTGCGTGTACTTGGGGGTCCAGAGGATTATCAAGGTCGCTCTGGACGTGGAGAATACAGGTCTGAGATCCGGCCATCACGTTGCGCAAGTGTATGGGTATCCTAAGATGGTAGAGTTTCCGCATCGGGTCTTGCTTGGATTCGGGCATGTTTACTTGCAATCCGGGGAGTCGAAGCGGATATATATTGAAGCATCCCTGCGGCCAATTGAACGATGGATCAATGGCAGATTCTGTTCATTGGTTAGTTCTGTTGAGATTGAGGTTGCTGGATACTCTGGGGATATGGAAGCAATTCGCAAAGTTTGTAAGCTGTATTGAAACGCACAATTTGTATAATGAGCAAATAAATCGATTTAAAAATGAAATGAAACGCACTACCCGCCGCAAATAATGGCAAGATTATTACACAACTTGGACGAGCCATTTCATTGTTTGCAACACCGAAAGCATTCCGTCGGCCTCAAGGCTCCAGTATTCGACCATTTTCAAAGTATCCAAGACTGCATCCTTCCAACCTGAAGGCAAAAGGGCAGACCCAGGGTTCAAGCGTGCAAAACCAAGGAGGATACATGCGCTTCTTGCTGAGCTTCGCAACATGAGCCAAGTCCCGTGGTGACGATGGTAGTACCCTGGTGCGTTGGTCAGCAGCCTTTGGTAGTGATAAGCCAGTGCAGCAGACGTGTCGTGCTCATACAACTCCGGATCTACCGCTTCGTTAAGAGCAACATGTATAAACGGCCAGGAAATAAGCTCGCGGATATAAGTGATGCGACCGCGCAGTACAAATCGGACCACATCATCTTCGGTACCTCCGTAAGGAGATGATTCATTTTCGATACTGACGAGCGGCGGTAGCGAGGCTTGCCATGTCTCAAGTTGATGTGATGTATCTTTTCCAATCTCTCTCAAAGCTCTTGAAAGCGACCACCAGCTTCCATGCTGGAGTTGACCCATTAGTCTTCGAGCATTCACCTCGACTCTCCAGAGAGCTATCTCGGACAGGTAAAAGTACCATGCTCGTTCAACACCGCCTTCGCATCCATGCGGGGGCTTGGGGAATAACTTAGGAGGGTCATCAGCTAGTCCAGCAGGGCTAGACATGCCCAGTTCGAACCTGAGCTCCTGTTCAGACTTCCAGCACGACCACAGGACACTCTGTTCCGAAGTCTCCTGCGTACTGGCCTGGCCCGAAGCACGGTCGAGTTGTCGGATGTAAGGAAGTGTCTGGCAAATCGCCAAACCGTGTACAAACGTTGTCCAAGCCTCGACAGGTCGTATCAGTGACATGAGAAGAACCCCTGATAGAAAGGCGCACTGAGCATGTATCAGTCCCGTGGGACCTAGGCCGCCACCAAGTCTTCTCTGTGCTGCCTCAAAGAGAGAAATTGCCATTTGTCGGTCTGGATGTGATAGAGGAAGAGACTCTTCGAGTGGACGAGCAATAGCTCCGTTGGCGCAAACCAGAAGCGCGAGACCAGATTCAACACTCCAGTCGAGTCCCTGTGCGCACAACCTGGCGACGAGCCTCCGTGTTTCTCCCTCGTTCAAGATTGGGTTTTTTACGTGAATGTGGGCGAAGAAGCTGCTGAGCCATCGCTCACATGATGCCCGGTCGGTCATTTCATCAACCCATGGTCTCTGTACATGACTGCCTTCCGACTGTGACCCAGGGGAGTGTTGTGTATGGGATGCAAGGGTTGGTAACTGGACGTCTGTGAAGACACCCCATTGGAGGACTTTTTCGATGGTAACAGGGAAAAGAGCCTTGTGAATAACACTTAGCTCGGGCGATAAGTCGTCGCTGGTCTCAGGAATGCTTTCATCATAATGGGTCCCTAGGAACGCCGGCTGCGGCCTCGACTGGCTGTCTATCTTACGCTCAAGTCGGTCGAGCCGGTCTATGATGGCAAGGCTCGCTTGGTCGAATGTCACATTGGTGTCTGGTTCGAAAACGCATTCCACGCCAGCCTTTAGGCAGAATGAACAGGCCGGTCGTTGCTGGTCGCACTTTGTTCTCCGAGCTCGACATACCTGGCATGCTTTAATCGCTCGTTTCCGAGCGTATGTAGAGCCAGGGCGGCTGACGGAAGCACGGTGACTTTCTGCGCGACGGCGGGATTGAGATGCCATAGCGTTGAGTGAAGAGATAAAAGAAGGGAAGCGGAATGTCGGGGGAAACTGCGAAAAGAGGCACGATTAATATCAAGTGATGGTTTCTCTTTATTCAGCAGATACAGCGCATCAGACACTAGCGGAGTATCGGGTCCAAATCCGACATGTACAAGCCATGGTGCCATACTAGTCTTTGCCTAGTTACCCCGTTCTTCGCCTGGGGAGCGAGTCTAAGAGTTTCCTAGCGACCCTGCGAATTAGACCAAACCTTCCCCAGGATCGGCTTGGAAATGGCCTGAGTTGCGAGCAAGTAGCAATAAATCATGTTGTCAAATTTACCGGACACCGTAAGAATAAAAAATGATATAAGATACAATGAGCGCGCTGCTCTTCCTTCTGTTCCCTCGCAACCACTCTCAACACCATCGCCAACGAATCTACTGACTGAAATTTGACAATACAACATCAATCTCGCCATGGCCAACACCAATCAGCATGTGCTCGACCGAAAAAGCACCTTGAGCGACAAGGACGCGACCGTTGAGCACATGGCAGTCTCTGACAAACACATGCTTGATCAGATCCAGGTGGCCAATGCCAACGAACACAATCTGACGTTCAAGGATGTCGCTCAGAAGCACCCCAAGATCATCTGGTGGTCCTTCTTCTGGTGCATGTGTGCAGTGGGTTGTAAGTTTCCGCTCACCGGATAATAGCGACGTGTATGGTGAAATGCTGACTTCTCCAAAAAGGGGGTTTTGATACCCAGGTCAACGGTGCCATGGTAGGTGTTCCAGCCTTTCGAAAGTACTATGGGTAAGTCACTATTTCGCCCGTCCAACAATATTACTTCTGACTCACGATAAAGTCACGAACTCAATGATGAGTGGGTGATCCCAGCGGACTGGTTGACCGCTTTCAACATCGTCTCTTCCGTTGGCCAGTTCTTTGGCGGTTTCGCTTGCAGCGCCATCTCCGATAGAATGGGTCGCAAGAAGAGCCTCACTTTGGGCGTCCTTGTTGTCTTCTCGTTTGTGTACTTCCTCACAATTGGCGCGGTGGCATTTGTTCTATTAGGGGAGGTTTCCTCCCTGTCCCAGAGGGCGCGAACAACCGCTTTGGCCACTGCAACTCAAGCCATCTTTGGTATCATTATGTTTTTCGCTGTTCCATATATGGTTAATCCTGACGCTGGTGTAAGTTCTGCCCTGTGCTTGAACGACTGAAATGCTAATTGTTTTAGAACCTTGGCGGCAAAGTTGGCTTTATCTTCGGTGGGCTCTCGGCCTTTGCTTCTATTCTCTGTGTTTTCTATATCCCTGAGCTCAAAGGACGAACCTATCAGGAGATCGATACAATGTTTTATCGCCGAGTTCCGCTGCGCAAGATGAGATCTTATACTATATAATGGTAAAATAAGACCTGGTTTATTTGATATCCTTGATATTACAACGCGATAGCCGTGATATTGAAATGGCTGGGCTACTTTGGAATATGTACTATAGTTGTTATTCTTAACAGTATCTACAAGCAGTATCCGGACAATATCCATGGTTGCAAGTATAACTACACAGTCCCTTATAATCATCCCCGAGACCTGAAGCAGGGCATCCCTCACGACCATTCGACGCTGGGGGTGATACAGCTGTTCCGTACTTGGTACACTTGCACTGAGCTGGAGGGCAGTAGTTATAGGCACAAGTGAACCTGCAGAGACCAAGATAGTTACCGCTTTGACCGTCTGCTACAGCACCCTCGACGCAAGCCTTTCCGTTTCCTCCGTCAGTCACTGTGGGTGGGTTATCTTCTTGTGTCGGAGAGGCTTGGTTGGTTCCGAGAGAAGGCTTCGGCTGGCAAGTTGTGACGTGCAGGCCGACAGTCAAAGACGCCAGACCACTACTGTCTAGGGGGTCAGAAAAGCCAGCGGCAACAGTACCAACATAGGCGTTAAAGTTGTACAAGCCACAGGGGCAAACAGCAGTGATATCCATTAGCGAGGTATCAGACAAGACGTTGGTGCTGCCACGCTTGAGAGTGAATGTCTGCTTGCCAAGGCCAGCATCGACCTTGATAAGAGTAGCTCCAGCAGGAACCTCTTTGGTAACAGTGTTGCTTCCTGATTTGACGATCACGGTTCCAGCAGACTGGAGCAGACTCACAACGTAGACAGTGTCTTCCATTGTTTGCCATCCATCCGGGCGACCCTGGAAATAATTCTCATTTGGCTTAGGTGGCGCTCTGCCATAGGTCGTATCGGTAGCATCGCAGTTGAGACCCTTGAGATTACGACGATACCAGTAGATAAGTTGATCCTTTTCAATGTACTTGGCCACGTTGATGTCTTTGTTCTTGTATGCGGCGATGAAGGGTTTAGAGAGATCAAGCCAACCGTTGTGAGGCATATCGTTGGACCACTTGGATGCTCCATCGTCGGTGTGCTTGTTTTTGAGCGGCCCGACATAGTGAGACTCGCCGTAGTCGTTCCAGGTAATGATTTCAACCATGGGGAAACCCTTTTGGATAACCTCATTCCAGCGGTCAAAGATGAGTGAGCCGCTCGGGAAGACCCAGTTCTGAACTGTCAGCCCCTTGGTCATTCCGTTTCTATGACAAGAGTGAGCTTACCTTGGACCAGTCGACCTCAGGACCGTAGTGGGTAAAGAACCAGGGCGATATGGCTAGTATGAGTCAGTCATCTACACTAGTATATAGAGGAGGGATCCTTACGAGCCATGTACTTCTTGTTTCCAAGCCAGTCCGTGTAACTCTTATCGCCATCAGCGACACTGACACTCTTACCATCCTTGGGCGCCTTGTTATTGCCATCATTTGGCCAGCCCATCCAGTTCAGAGCACCGTCAATACCGTTAGTCGATCCTCCCCAAGGAGTAAAATTGGGGACGAAGAAGATATTTGAGCCAGAAGCACTTCTCACAGCATTTGCGTCGAGGTTATCTCCTGCAAAACTGGACACAAAAACTCTGTTGTCGATGCGTAGCTGACCTGGGCGGTCGGCATACTTCTTGACCTTCTGCCCGACAGCGGCTGCATCGCCAGTTGACCAGAAATGAAAGTCGAAGGAGATGAAAACCTTCATGCCATTACGGTTGGCAGAGTCATACGCGTAATCGAGCTGTGCATCCGTGTAATCGTCGGTGCCAATGTTGAGGGCAAAGGCGTCAATGCCAGCGGACTTTGCATGCTTCATGTCGTCATCATAGTCGGCAGAGCTTTGTCTGTTGCCAACAATACCGACCTATTGATGTTAATGGGGCATGGAAGTGATGGGCAGACATGCATACCATGAAATGAGCAAACACCAGACGATCGCTCGAGGAGGCTCTTTCAGCAAGCGATCGACTGTCAAGAACAGCGCCTTGACAAACCGCAGCACCAAAGGCTGCAAGGCCAAGGCCTTGTAATAGGCGAGAAACGAGGACCATAGTGAACAATGTTCGACTACCAAACTGTCGATCGTTGGTTTGTCAATCAACATGAGGGATTAAAGAGCAGAACCTGCTGCTTTTATGTACATTTTAAACATAGAAAAAAAAAAACCCGGGCGATACGGAATGCGCATGCTGACACTGCATGGAAGGAGATTGCAACGCTGTGGGTCAGGAGATCCATAAACGTGCAGTGGGCTGACACCGTGTTTCATGGATTAATGGTATGTTTGATAGATATTAACATACGCTAACCTGCAAGATCAATCCTGTAAGCTACAATAAGATACATACTAACACAATAGAAAAATGGCAATTCAGCGGTATTTTGCCCCTACCATTGCTCCCAAAGTTCCTTGTCTAAGAGTCGTTAGATAAGTGCCAAGAGGAGTCTCCAGTTCAACCATGTCTATGGGCTGCACCCGAGCATAAATACGAGGATGACAAGGTTCTGAAGGATTCATTAACTCCACACTATCGGCCGTAATAGGAAGTCAGTTGCCATTTTGCCCAAATTCGCGGCAATCCGGCGTTAGTATTTAGTCACTATACATAAGTTCCTAAGAAACAGCACGCAAGATAGTAGTCAGCATAACTAGGGATGCATTAGCCGTGCGTCGCAAACGGGTCCCAGTAGTCATTCAAAGCACCACTGGGGTCGGAGCAGGCAGCCTTGAGAATTAAGGTAATGATCGCTTATCCGCCAACGCAAAGTCATAGGGACGGAAACTGAAGAACCCTTCATCGCCAGCAGCACTCACAAGGCCAGCCACGCCAACAAGTCAAAGAAATCAGACTATAGCGTTGTATCAGATCTTCTATAGGTATGGAGTTAATGTCGTGTGATCAACCTTGCCCTCGAGGTAGATACCGGTCGATGAGAATTGCTTCTGACACCAGTGACGGTGAAATTTATCGCTCGCCTATTAAGCGCGGGTAAGCTGTCGTATGGAGAGAATCCGAGGAAACTGTTTTACTCAGCGCGGACCCAGAAGATGCTCTTGTTACATCTCGATTGATCGCTGCACTAACAGCTTGGCTATTGGTTGAGTCATTTGCAGCGGCGGTGAAAAGGCTCTGTGACTGTAATTCTTCCGTACTATCAGCACTTAATCAAATGGGTATACAGATTTTGGGACGCTTGTAAGGCTGGTAGGTATTGACAACGCCACCAGACAGCTCACGCTGCCAATTATTCCTGTGCCACGGGCTTCCAACGAAGTTAGCCATGAAAGGGTCTCTACCTCGGCTAAACAGTTGTCTTAGATCTTATTCACCACGCTGAAGAGCCGCTGGCTCAGGTTATATCGACTGAAGCAAGTGGACCCCGAAGGACTGTTTGCAGGACTAAGACACGGCCATGCCTTTACCACTATATTCATAGGCCAGATGTATGAGCTCATTCAGGGTATCTCTGAGTAAGGATCAGGTAAGCGACTGCATAGTTCACCGCTAGAGACTTGGGAAATGATTTTGAAGAGTGTTTAATTTGTTATGCCCCAAGCACTTCAAGATAAGGTCGCATAGACAGACCATACGCCTTCAGACACCATCATAAATCTTTTTGCCAGAGTTATCGATGTCACTAACTTTCTTATAATAGACTTCCTCGATTTGGCTATGTTTCAAGTATCTAGCATGGCGGACCAAAAGCTAAGTATCCGAACAAACTGCATCTTGCTATCAATGACCAACTGCAAACTCAAAAGCCCAAGCAGTGTTCTTATCCTGAGTCGTCTGGTAAACAGGGAACGTCACTGAATTTCCAGAGTATGTGTGCGAATACACTCCTCGATCAGAGGGGGCTGAGACTCCTCCATAGTGACCATTATCATCAAATCCATAGGTATGGATAGCAAGACTGCCTGAAGTCGGGAGACCCACGGCGCTGAGGTTGTTGATGGTGATGTACCACGTACCAGTAGCGATATTCACGCCGGTCAAAACGCGAACCTTGTCTTTCCCGATAGTTGTATACACGTCCAGCTTCCCATCCCCGCTTCCGGTCGTGGTGGCTCGAGTGCCTGTCATGTTGAGGTTGTAGTACTTGTAGACTTGGTACTCACCGTTGGGGACGTACCCTCCGGCAGTGCAGCTGTTGTCATCGGACTTGCCTAGCAGAGATGCCATGAAGTCGTGCAATGCGCATCCGCTGAGCCAGTTTCCGCGAAGTCCGATATAGTTGTACCGCTCAAGACGTGAGATCCACCAGGCTGCACCTGTCGCAACCTGCTGCGAGAAGACGGCGTATTCGTTGATGTTGACTTGGTTGTCGGGTGCATTGTACTGCTGACGAAGTGTTTGCCAGTTACCATGGTCATTGGCAACATCGCCAGGCTCGTCATGCCACGTCCACTGGTCGGGAACTACATTATTGGCCATGACGTATTTCACAAATGCCACCCACCAACTGTTCGAGGTCGAAGGCTGTCCAGCACTGGAGGGACCAACTAGGGGGACATTCTTAAATGCCGAGGCTGGTAGAAGTGTGAGAGTTAGTGGGCTTCCTCTGCGTTCAATCCATCAAACGTACAAGATCGAATGCGCTTGTAGGTGCGATTCCACATCTGCAGATACTGATCTTGGCTGCGGCTCCAAAAGTAACCATCTGCTCTGTGTGTAATGCGTCAGAACTAGTACTAGCCAGTAGCATAATATGAGTATATCACTTACTCGTTCCAGATGTCGATATCCAAACCGTCCAACATGTTGTTAGACTGCAAGTCACCAAGCAACTGGTTCAAGAACTTGTCATAATCTGTCCAATCGCCATTGTCGCCAGGCCAGGCCGTAGTTGAGGTTGCATGATCAGTGCCCCAGATATCATGGGGCAAGAGCTGGAACCTGGCACCATATTTGCGCGAGGTCAGATAGTTCTGCTTGGTCGAGTTGAATCGCGCGGCATAGGCTTGAAGGCCCTGGACCCAGCCGCCCTCGCTCATCTGTGCGCCTCCGGCACGGGCATAGTTGAAGCCCATGTCAGTGTAAAAGTGATCAGGGATCTGAGTTGGGGATTGGCCAAACCCGGAGTCGGGAATGCCGTAGATAAACCCAGAAGCCAAGTGCTTCGGCGACCCGCGGCCCTTGGAGAGGTCGACAGTAGCCGTGTTGGATGATGTTTGGCGGCGCTCAAGGGCGGATGAAAGGCCCAGCTGAGGTAGCGCTGCCAAGGCCACTAGGCCGCTGATAGTCAGAGACCGCATAGTCACGAGGAGGTGTCAACCTTGAAGAGGATGTAAGATGTTGAGATTTGAAAGAGTAGCAAAGATCTTGTTGTGATGTGGAGGCCTGATCGAGAAGCCATAGAGATGTTTTGGGATTAAGACGGTACTTATACTTGGCAAAGTCAGGGGTATCACGGAAGCCGGCAGTTAGCAGCCTCCCGCATTAATTACCCCGTGGGGACGGAGGAGGCGTCCGGCATTACCTCATAGGCTTCAGATTACCCCTCTAGTAAATTCCTGAGAGGCTCCGTTAGTCTGTGTACTCGAAAGGTGCCAGTCTTGGTTCACTATGTCTCTCCGGTGGGATGCTTTAGTCCATAGTCTATGTCCGGTGGGGAATGTCCGGTGGGAGAAGGCGGGGGAAGATCAGCGCGTTTGCACTCTCCCATGGCATTAAACGATTCAAGGTTAACATTGCGGGGTAATACAAGACAAGTTCTCATGCGATCCAATCATCTCATAAACTTGTTCGAAGGTGGGATAACCCAGATTGGTGCGCTTTTTGTTGATAGTCCATAGTATTACAAAAGCAGACCAAAATGACAAAGGCATAACTGACCCCATCTGGCTTGACATCTTGAACCAATGCTTCTCTAATGTGTTTTTCTGAGTCGTGGACTTCGGCTTGAGCACCGCGCGGCTGAAAAAGGAATCTCTATGCACTCTCGAGCGCTTCAACTAGCGACCTAGACAATGCACCGCTGATTGCACAACGCGGGCTCAACAAGAGTGCCAGAGAGATTGCAAAGTAACCAACAACCGTGATGAGTGTATCGAACAACTCTTGTCAAGTGTGGAGCAGAGTCAGCTACACTGGTAGCTTGCTCGCAGCCAGGCATGCATCCAATTTAATGCCCCATGATGGGTCGCTAGCCACGCCAAGCTGATGAAACTATAGGAGACTCCTACTATTGCAGCAGTGGTTAATCTATAGCTGACTTGAGCGCTGTGGTCAATGTGACACATGTACAGAGATTCTGGAGCGCCTTGATATAGGAGATAATAGTGGCATCTATGGCATCATCATATCACAAGCGAAAGAGAGCAATGCACAGCAGAATATTCAACGGAAGAAGAGCAAGAGAATGTGGACAGAGTCATTCAGAAGTTCATTTCCCAACTAACTTAGTACACGACATTAATGATCTATTTACCTTCCTTCAAGTAGCCAAAAGAAAGGGTGGGATTGATGAAGCCAGCCTCCTCGGGGAAGTTGCCGTAGTCCCAAACGGTATAGAAGTTCTTGAGGAACCGAGGGCCAAGCAAGGCGAATCCCTCGGCCCCGGAATCCATCGGCGGCCAGCAAGCATCGTCTCTGTTGGCAAAGCCAGGGACAGCCAGTTGATCACCAGTGATGTTGAGGAACTTAGATTCACCGTAGTAGCCAACCTCAAAGGCAACAGACCAGTCCTTGGTAAACTCGCTGCACAGGGGAATGTGCTTGCCAGAGAGAATTGCCGTCCAGTTCATGCCGATAGATTCGTAAATCTCCTCGATCTTGGATTCGGGAACGGTGATGCCAGAGGCTCCAGTATCGAAGACAACCGAAACATCAAGGTCAACCTTGGACTTTGTTGCAGAGCAGTTCTTTCCCTTTCGTGAGCCGGTAGTGCTGTGAAGAATGGATCGCCAGACGTCAAAGTCATTGTGGTTGGTGTTGATGGGAACCTCAATCAAGTCGCCCTTGACATATTCCTTTTCCTTGGATCCTCCCAGGGTGAGGAGACCCTTTCCTGGCTTGCCGTTGGTATCGTCACCATCTTCCTTGGAATAATAAATTCCAAATCGAGGTTCATCAACCTTCTTCTCCGCCATCAGAGTCTCGAAAACGGGTGTAGCGCCGCCATCAGCGATGCTACCGAAAGCCAAGCCCATGAAACCGGCAGCGGCCAGCGAAGACCAGTTGCTCTCGTTGGCTGCGATAAACTTGGACTGCCAGGTCACACCATCCGCCTCGAAGCGTTCCTCCACAGTCGGGCCAACAACCTTTCCTCCGAGATAGTCGATGGAAGCGCTCTCTCCCGTGTATTTTCCAGTGGAAGATGCTGTGAAGTTATACCCGACTCGGTCCTTGTCGTAGTGAGGACACTCCGTGGCGCACTCGCTATCGATCATCCAAGCTGAGGCACTTCCAGTGTCAAAGCGAAGAAGGAAGTCTTGTTCGGGCTTTCCGACGCCGACCTGGACCATTTTCTATCAAAGTCAGTTTTCGTTTATGGATCATGGTCTGATCAACATACGTAGCCACCCTTGACGACCATGGGCATGTCCAAAACGGCAGCTGAGGCAGCGCCGAGAAGGGTCGAAGTGGCCAAAACGGCCGAAGCGAAACGTGCGACAGAACCCATCGTTGTATGAGGTCAATGATTAGGTCGGGGTAATGCGAAAGGGGCGGGATAGGTCGTTGAAAAAATTGTAGGCTGTTGCGATATCTTATAGGCAGAATGCACCATGTGACGTATTGCGCACAGAACGAGATTAAGTGGCTAGTGACTCCATAAACACGAACTAATCTCGGTTGTTGTAGCTATTATTAGGATGAACAACGCTAAAGTACGGCACTTGCTTAGCATCCCTTGCATAGTTTGTAGTTATGCACTTCACAATCCGTCCATACATAAATCCAAACCTGCCATAGCTGGAAAGCATCGAATTATCTCTCACCGTATCCGCATGCTGCATCGCTGTCAAACATCTTATCACCGCAAAAGTCCCCGATCGTCAATCTGCTATTCCAATTCGAGCGTAAACAGCTGGCAATAAAATCCGATAAAAGGAGACGTCGCATATTAAAAGAGCCATGGCGAGCATCCAAGAAATACTGAATAGACGAAATCTCCATGTTGTGATGCTCTTGGCGATATTTTCATTAATTAAGAAATGGAGATCGAATGTTTAGTGCATGATGGTTTGTGAGACATGCTAGTCCAGTCTCGGCTTAATACGAGAAGTCTCGGTTTTTTAGTGGACATGATTCCGCTCTAGCCGGAGGTGCCGAGGCTTAGACCCATCCTTTCTATTGGAGGCGACAGCTTCAGGGTAGCAAAGTCTATATTTAAAGGCTGTAAACATATTCAATCCAGTATGCTTTCTGTTTTATCAGATGCATATCAGAGCTATTACATTGTGAATCCGAGGATTATAGTTTCTCGAGAGATAACCAACGGACAAATTGGCACTCGTATAGCATGTCATAGTAGCTGTACTCGAAGAAGGATCTTGTCTAGTAAATATAGATAGTTATAAAGATAACTAACGCAAATGAGGTTGCGCCTTTAAGATTGCCGCAACACAATACGGGAGCATAACCTTCAATACAACAAGACATTATTTCTTATCTTATACAATACAGACGTACCGCTAGTCTTTACTAATTGATACCAGCGAGTTGCTCTGAGCAGCTGTTGTTGATCGATATAGAGTGTTTGAACTTTACGTAATACAAGACACACGTCATAATTACGTATCTGCACGTCTAAATATTTACCCTAACTTCAAGCGGTTGCGCGTATTATGGAATAGGAATTGTGTAAGATAGCCTGCGAAAAAACGCAAACTTGGGAACCGGCTTGAATGCCGAAGTTAAAATTTAAGGAAGATGCATAAGCCTGCTGTGATTGGTGGAATCTAAGAATCTCCATCCAGCGATAAAAATGTCCAATCAATAACTGACATTAGTCTCGGCAATGGCAGCGAGTATACTTATTCTAGAAAAGTTCGAAACCTAGTTCTCAGGGGCTCTAACCGTCTTTGGACTACCACTTCGTCTGGATAATCATGACACACAGTGAGAATTTGCAAGCTGACTGGGATGCGACCTGTCAAACATGGCCCCAACACAGTGCTTGACAGACATGACGAGTGTTTCACGGCAAACCCGGACCACCTGACTAATGTAAACACTCTATCTTATCAAGAATTAGCCTGGAATATGGAGTCAAATCGGCCAACTATGAGGATCTTAACTCATCGTAGCATGAATCAGCTACCATGGCACCCACCATCTGTCCGGCGTTATTGCGTAGACAGTATAGTCTTCGGCTTTGTTTAACGGAAATGCCTTGGTTTGCTCCATCGATGAAACCTCATGAGCTAAGGGTCTTGAAATCTTACACTGGGGCGACAAGATCGGGTTTTCAACGCCGACTTCTTAAGAAATCAGATTCCCTTATCATCGATTGACATTCCCACGCTAGTTGTTATCAATCTCTAGAGCGGATCATCATTTCCCAGGCTCATCATGCGATTCTCATCTCTTTCAGGCGTGTCTGCCCTGACCTTGGCCGCTCTCACGGCACCAGCGTCATGCAAGACCGCCGATTCTACCTACGATTATATTGTTGTTGGCGGTGGCCCTGCCGGCCTGATCACAGCTGAGCGACTCTCTGAGGCTAACAAAAAAGTACTACTTCTTGAGCGTGGCCATGGTCCAACCGTCGCAACTGGATCCAATCACACGCTGTCCTGGAACTCCTCCCTTACCCCAATTGACGTGCCTGGTCTCTCTTCTGCTGTTGGTGGACTTGACCTATGGAACGAGTATATGTGTGATGATACTGCCGCCTTGGCCGCTTGTGTTCTTGGTGGCGGTGTCACTGTCAACTACATGGTCTTTGTTCACCCTCCTGCGCGCGACTTTGATGACAAGTGGCCCAAAGGTTGGAAATGGAACGATGTGGCACCGGCCGCCGACAGACTATATGCTCGCAATCAAGGCACTCTAGTTCCCTCCATCAACAATGAGCGGTACGACCAGGGACTCTACAACACTCTGTCTGGCTTCTTCGATAAGCTGGGATGGAAGTCGGTTGACATGATCAAGCAACCTAACGAGAAGCACGAGGTTTACAGCTGGCCATCCTGGAACGTCAAGAATGCCTTGCGAGCTGGTCCCGTCAGGACTTATCTCCCACTTGCCCAGAAGCGAAATAACTTCACTCTTCGCATGAATTCCAAGGTCATTCGTGTGGTCCGATCTGGCTCACGAGCTACTGGTGTCGAGGTTGAGACTACTGTAGGTAAGAAGGAGATTGTCAAGCTTTCCAAGAACGGTCGAGTTGTTCTTTCTGCTGGCGCCCTCACAACTCCTCGCCTGCTGTTCAACTCGGGAATTGGTCCTAAGAAGCAGATCCTGACCGCTAAGAAGACTGGCGTCACTCTTCCTGCCGAGAGAAACTGGATCAGTCTTCCTGTCGGCGAGAACCTCATGGACCATCCCATCTTCACATTCACCGTCAAGACTGGTGGTGCTTGGGGCATGCTTGACACTGATAGTGTCTTGAACGGCACCGATACCAAGAACATTGATCTATATGAGAAGAAGTCCTCTGGAATCCTGACTCAAGGCCGCCATCGCATGATCTTCTTCAGCTCTAACAAAGGTTCCGATGGTGTCACCCGATACTTCCAAGGGTCGTGTGCTGCTGGAGGTGATGGCATCGCTTCTATCAAGGTCTACATGACTCATGGCCTGACCTCGACTGGTGTTCTGGGTATGACTGAGGAGGGTAAGACTGTCATTGAGAAGTCTCCTTACCTGCAGACAGATGGAGATGTCGGGGCTGCGAAGGCTTTTGTTCAGGATATGGTTAACAAGATCACCGATCCTTCATCTGGATTTGTTCTTCAGAAAGAAACCAACACCACAGCTATCATTAATGCTGTTACTAGCGGGAACCACTATGCTGGTACTACCAAGATGGGCACTGATGATGGCACTGATGATGGGCGCAAGGGAGGCTCTTCCGTTGTTGACACTAATGCCAAGGTATATGGCATGGACAACCTTGTAAGTATAACTTGTGTCTCTCTACCAATCTACCTACTCATTCTCTCTAGTTTGTTTCTGATGCAGGCATCCACCCTGACCTTCCTACTGGCAATATCCAGACTATTGTCATGGTAGCCGCCGAAGCTGCAGTTGCCAAGATCCTTGCTTGTTAAAGAGTCTTAAGTTTACGAAGGGAAAAAAACGGAAAATGGGAGTATGTAAAGTAGTACTAGTGGAACATATTAGACATAATTCTATAGCATAAAAAACTGTAATAAGTGCGCTGTAGCATCTAAGTAAATGGCCTCAGACACCTTTGACCACCTCGATGCAGACCTTTCCGATTTCGACCACGACGTCAACTCCCTCCGCTCCTGGCGTGAGAGCCTGCGCAAGGGCACCCCAACTCTCAACTTCGCGATAGTTGATGACATGGCCAACCCCTATCTCTTGAAGCCTTTTGGCCCTTTCAACTGAGGACGTGGTCGTAATGACTTGGGCGCCAGCTGCCTCGGCTTAACCTTGACCCTTGAGGGCATCCATAATAGCTTGCGCACGTTTATGATATCATAACCTGCAGACTTTCGATCTGCAGACGGCGATCGGACATGGTCTATGAGGCAATCCCGAAAACATAACCTTGGTGCTGCGGACTTTGACAAACGCAGAATGGTTGCGTCAACCAGCACAACCTCTAGTCCTTTGGTGACTTTGTTAGACAATCGGGAATATTAACACATCGCGTCCCTTGGCTAGAGCATTTATCAGCATCAAATTTGCATTGACAAGCAACGGATCCACAGGAATGCAGATGATGGTGCCTGATCGATAACTAATCACAGATGGCACGGACAAGACGCGGTCGGACCCAAGTTGCACCGACGCCGTGGCTTAAAATTGCAGTCGGTCTAATGCCATGCCGTCGACAGCTCCATGGTGTGATTGGCGCTACCAAGGCAAAATCGTTCACATATAAGTTTTTCAGGAGAAGCAATTCATACCATCAAGGCAATAACATACCAACACTCGTCAACTCTAGAGCTACGCTATCTACTTCAAAGTCACCGATCAACCTTGCATTATGACTTCGCACATAGAGCAACCGATAATGCTAAAAAATGGCTTGACGCTGCCAAACCGGTTAGCCAAGTCTGCCATGGCGGAGAACCTAGCAGATAAGGACCTTTTGCCAACCGATCAAGTCTATACTGCCTACAAGACCTGGGCCAACGGCGGCTGGGGACTGATAATCACAGGTAGTTCCTCATTTTATACAAGAAATCGATGGAACCATTGGCCACTGACTTCTTCATCAAGGGAACGTGCAGGTTGATCCTCGTCACCTGGGTCAAGCCGGAGATATTGCCAATAACGATGCCATCGACAGGAACCGTATCCTAGACAGCTGGAAGAAGTGGGCATCTGTCTCTAAAAGTGGCGGAACCCCAACTGTCACCCAGATCAGCCACCCCGGTCGTCAATCTCCAGCCGGCGCTGGTACTCGAGGTTTATTCGACAAGACGCTCGCTCCCAGCGCCATCCCTCTCCGACTCGGCAAAGGCATATTCGCGGGTGTGGTCTCCAGGTTACTGTTTGGAACGCCACGAGCTATGACGGTCGCGGAAATTCTGGACGTCCAGGATCGTTTCGTCAAGACAGCAGTTCTTGCCGCTGATGCTGGATTCGGTGGCATAGAGCTTCATGGAGCACACGGATATCTTCTTTCACAATTCTTGAACCCCAAGACTAACCACCGAACTGACGAGTATGGAGGATCAGCTGTTAATAGGACAAAGATTGTAGTGGATATCATCAAGGCGATCCGCAAGGCTGTGCCACCGAGCTTTACAGTTGGCATCAAGTTCAACTCTGTCGATCACCAGTCTTCACAAGCCCTGGAGGACTGTCTCGAGCAACTCCGCTTGATCACAGATGCCGGCATCGATTTTCTCGAAATTAGCGGCGGAAGTTACGAGGAGCCACTTGTAAGTTACCCAGCCAGTAAGCGGTTCCGTCGCTCACATGCTCTACAGGGTCTCGTCGACCCCGATAAAGTCCGAGGCGTCAAGAAAGAAAGCACCAAGGCCCGAGAAGCCTTCTTTCTTGACTTTGCGACCGCTATCAGAGATCAATTCCCTGGCCTGCCGTTGCTCGTCACAGGCGGTTTCCGTAGCCGCAAGGTGATAGAGGATGCTTTAGCAAGCGGTTCACTTGACATTGTTGGTCTAGCAAGGCCAGCAATGCTGGATCCCTCTGTTCCGACAAATACCTTCCTGAACAAGAGCAAGAAGGATAGCGAGGCACGGGCCATTGCAATTTCTATTCCAACCCCTTGGCTGCTGAAGAAGATTGGCAACTATGTCATTGGAGCTGGCTATGAAACGGTTAGTTCTCTGTTGCTTGAACATGATAAAATGCTAATATTTAATTTTAGGCTTGGTATGGAAGGAAGATCAAGACACTGGGTAAAGAGTAATATGTCGAGAGCTAGAGTGTTATACATGACGGAAGAAGTTACCCTATTAGAAATGCTATTATTTGCCTATAGAACGAATTGACTATATATTATGCTTCTCAACCAGAGAGATTGATGCCTGTTTGAGCCGTGGCCACATCCTGAAGAATGTCCAATATTCCACTGTCATAATCGGGAAGTATTGAATGCTTGTGGATTCCATCAGCAGGTGCATATATTGGTAGTGCACCTTGGCCCAGTCAGCCGAAACTGGAGCTTCTACATAAATGTTTCGAGAGAGAGCAACAGAAGTCATGGAGTGAATGTTTTTCTCGTTGTGATATACATTGGAATGCCTAAAATGATTAGTTCACTTGTCTTGCTCGATGTGAAATGGCTTTCCCTTACGCGAGTCTCAACATGCTGTCGTGATTTACTTGAATATGATGTTACTCTTCCAAAGGTGGCAAGATCTTTATCACATAGTGATATAAGCTTGCTTCTGGCTGGTCGCACCACCAAACAGCTCTGCCCAAGCTTGCCTACATAAGGTAGCCTTGACATAATTTGCAAGAAGCGTTAGTGCACAATTGCCACTTTGATGGATGATTGCCTATTTAGGCGAGTGAACAATGTCGACGTTCGCTGACGTGGTTCTATCAGTAGTACTAATGTAGAAAGCTAAATTATCGGAGGCGACCATGTCAAACCTCAGGCCACTCTTCTTCCCTGATATACTCTTCCATAGTATATACTGGAACATGGACACCAAGCTATTCCAGTTGTAAGTGAGAGTTTGAGGTTGAGGTCAGGGTCACTTACATTCTCGGGATAAACAATGGTTGGATCACGACCATCGTAACCAAATTCGCTGATGTACTCGAACATGTCCGCCAGTTCCTCGCCGACGCAGCCAGGAACGGCTGCTTCCAGGACTTTGCGGTCAAGGCGCTCATAGCGACAAGTCACCCCATGAACCTTTCCCCATAGAACTGCAAAATCGTTCCAGCTAATCAAGCTGCCATACCCAGCAGGTTTTTGCCCGGTTCAACCTGGACAAGAGCCTTTGCGAATTTGCCTGGACGTCTAGTCTTAGCGGTTAAAATTCTCGGAGACAACACGGAACGGAATACATACCTGTGTCCTTTCGGGGCTCTACCAGTGGGACAAGTGCATCACCATCCGTGGGAAGACTGAGCTTAAAAGTACCATCGAGTTGCTACAGATGTTAGTCTCACTTTTATTTGAGGCAAATACTTGTGCAAGTCCTGAAGCCAAAACTCACCTTAGTCGGCCGGGCGAAATGCAGACCCTTCTTCCAGTTAGTCACATAGAGGCCAACCTGTAGGTACGAGGTCTTGTTGTCCAGTGCTGGATAGGTGGCCTTGAGGTATTCCGCGCCCTCCCACTTTGCGTCGAAGTGGAGGTTGTGGGTATACTTGCCGTTGCTCCACTTGCGCGTATGCGAGAGAGTTGAGAAGACCAGTCGATCCAAGGTTTCAATTGTAGCATATGCAGCTTCTGCAATGTTTCGAGCCTGTTGCTTCTCGGCCTCGTAGGCGATCTCGGTCTCGGTCTGGCCAGTCGACTTGGCCAGGGCTTGTGTCTTTGGGTCATACACAACAGTCCAGAAATCAGTGACGCCAAACATCACGCTGGATCCGGCAAATGCCGACTTCAACGTCGCAGCGTCATTGATGTTGGCTTCGATAAGCTCGACACCCTTGTCAGCCCAAGCTTGGCTCGGACGGCTTGCTTGGATCGCGGGTGATGCCTCGGACATGCCAACCTCCTTCCTGGAGGAAGACATCGGCAACGGAAGCGCCCTGCTAGTTGTTAGTCCTCTGATCATTGGTGAGGATTCCCAGTAGCTTACTTGGGTTCCCGTCACACCCACAATGGTAATGATCTTCTTCTCCATTCTGGTCAATGTTTGAGCTGTGGTTCAGTATCTGGAAGTTCAAGTCTTATGAGTCTGGATCTAAAACCTTTGACTGACGCTGGACGAAAGAACATATATAGTAGATTGGCGTGCAATTGAAGTGGTAGCGGGCTTACTGAATCAAGCTGCCTTCATGCCAGAGCAGTGCATGATTGTACCGCTCGTCCGCTCCGGGCTCCGAGCTATGGGCTCCTGGTCTGCTGATGATATCGCATCGATCGAGCCAGAGCAGTATTTGGTAAGGAACCCGGATTACTATCCATCCCGCATTTGCATCACAAAACGCTGTCCAAATAAGATTAATCGGTGTTGTTCGTCATCGTCTAGTCTAGTATGCGTTGTCCTCGGCTGAGGCTACTGCAGTCGGGCTGATAGTTGCTCCCGTGCCGGCCTCCACTACTCGGAAGGACTCCAAATACCCGGGCTACTAGTGGAGCCCTCAACAAGTTAAGCCGCCCGAGATTGTGATTCGCCATCGAATCAAAAATGACTCCGCTCATGTCGGAATCGTGACTGTATCTGGATCCCCCAATGAAACTCACTGAGAAATGTTTAGTGAACTTGAATGTAGATGTACTAGATACGGTGTGAGGGCGAGTACATTTAGCATGGTAACCAATCGTAAACTCCTCTGTAGGAATTTTGAATTCTACTTCATCACTGCCCTGTATGTCAACCTTTGTGTCTGGGCCATAATGCGATAGGTTGCTTGCTATCTTGCAGTCTACTACAACCTTACACCGACCATGGCCAGTCTAAATCTTAAGGAGTTCCTTAAGCGGAATGAGTATGCCACGCTTCACCAAATCCACTGTGTACAAGCTAACATCTCTTTAGGGAATCACTGGAAAATTACCAAGCGCCACCTCTCATGCGGGATCTGGTCAACATGATACCCGAGTCAGGAACCATTTGCATCAGTTCGTATTAGCCGTCCCAGGTCTTCATACTGTCGCATACTAACAGTCGAAGTAACTTGTTCAGATGCTCGAGTTGACCCACGTGACTACTTTGGCGTTGAGTACGGAGGTGAACATTTTGCGTACATGACTGGACTTTCCTTGACGCTAATGCCAGACTGAAGGCCCTGGTAATTCGTAACGCAGGTGGTCGGGCCGTTGATGCTTACCGAAGCCTTGAAGTTATGGGGACGATCGCTCCCATTGGTCTGATCATTGTGGTTCATCACACTGGTATGTATCAGTGACGGTACAAACCAAGCAAGAGTCACATTATCTGATATAATCTAGACTGTGGCGCAGTATTTACTACCGAGGAGGAGATACGATCAAAGCTCAGTCACAGAGCCCCTGTACACGCTGCTTCGATCAAAGACAAGTGGTTTGGTACCTTCAGAGAGTAAGTTTTATTCACCAGGGAACGTTTGCTGTACTAATCGAATTATACGTTAGTATCGGCCTTGATGAGAGCATTCGTCAGGACATGGAAGAACTTAAGAGATGGCCATTTTTACCAGCAGAAACTCAAATTGTGGGTTATGCACTCGATCTTGAGACTGGGACTATGAGGGAGGTAGCTTAGGAGATATTTAATCAGTTAGGCTGGCTGCCGTGTCAAACTCTGGCACTTAGGGTGGCCTCCATCTTCACCATGAAGATTCATCAATGACAAATATATGTCCATTTAATCTTCCCCATAACTGCACTAGTGGTATTTCTAGGACATCATGGCCATGTTCATGAGCCGGAGAAACTCCATAAATCCATCTACTTTCACTCTCTTAGGTATTCCCACTATCCCTGATAGCTATCGAGATGCCTCTTTCGGTGACTGTGAAGGTGGCATTGTGGCTGAAGATGTATTCGTCGTGATCCTACAGATATGAAGGAGATGCGAAAGAGATGTAGAACCATAGTTTTTGGGCTGATGTTGCTGGAGATAGGTGAATGGGAGAGCATGGTTGATCTGGGCATGACTCTATCCCAGAGCACTTGATTGATCCGTATTTGGATCAGACCCCCAGAATAGGTATAGTCCTTAGATAACACGCTTTAAGGGCAGTAACGATTGATAGGATACTGGCTAAATTTAAGTCATATTAATCACTAGAGTTCTTAGAGTCTATAAGAGAATAGGTAAATTAGGCTATCTGAGGTATGTACATGAGATTGACCAGGTATAATAGAAAGACAAAATTAGAAATTAAAACAAGATCCGGCATAGCTGGCAGTTGTGCATTTACTTCAACTCCGGTATCCGAACTATAACTGCGCCAACTCCAGAACCGCTGTGCCACTGACGATGGGCCTCTTGGATATCATCCATATCCCAGATTTTGCGAATGAGCACTGTGATTTCGCCCTTGCTAAGCAGCTCCAGAAGAGCCTTCACATTGGGCTGATAGTTTGACTGGTCTCGATTGATCATGTAGAAGGTGGTTCTCTTCCCTCTCCAGGGAATTTGGCCCTTAAGCAAGAACTTAACAGTCGGCCATACGGCCGAAACAGGAGCCTCGTTGGTAAGAGAGTGCTTGTTGGCGCCGAAGCCGACGACAATGCCGTGGCTATTGAGGATGTCGTAGGATTCGTGGAAGCTCTCGAAGCCGATGGAATCAAAGACGACGTCGACGCCACCCTCTTCCTTCATGGCCTTGATCCAGTTCTTATCGGTGTAGACAAAGGGGATGCCGCCCTGCTCCCGGACAGCGGCGTGGTTCCTCTCTGATGCTGTACCGTACGCCGTCGCACCCAGAAGCTGGACAAGCTTCATGGTGGCGTAGCCAACAGAGCCACTGATGCCATGGATAAACACCTTCTGTCCCTTCGTCACCTTGGCAACTTGGTGAACCATGCCGTAGGCGGTGGCCCAGTCCAGAATGAGGCCTGTCACCTGGTCCAAGGCGGAACCGTCAGGGACGGGGATGAGGTGTTTCTCCGGCAGGTTGACCAGCTGAGCCTGAGCATCATACTTGGTCAGGCATGCGACAGTGTCGCCAGCCTTGAACTTGGAGCTTTCGCTGCCATTGGTCTTCACCCTGCCGACGAGACAGTAGCCAGGGGTTAGTGGTGGCTTCTCTTGGCTTGGGTAGACACCACGCCGCATGTTGATATCGGCACCAGAAAACCCGGCGTATATAGGTGCAACTTGCACCTCCCCTGCAGCAGGCTGAGGGAGGGTGGCCTCGGCGATTTCAAGGACTGATGCATCGCCGTACTTGGGAATGACGACTTTACGGAATGTGGTTGACATTGTGAAAGTTTGAGGATGGTGAAAAAAGAGAAGATTGAAAGAGTTTCGAATATTGTTCTGATATAAACTGAAGCATTAAATTTGAGGCCATGGTTGGGTCCCTTTTACGGGCTGTACGATATAAACTTAGCACGGAAGCATGTGTAATTTCGCCGAACCCGTCGGTGATCGGGCCAACAAAATCGGGTGTCGCTGTTCTAAGTTCCGTCTGCGATTTAAGCACTCAGCCACGAACCTCAACTGCAAATGACAAATCTAGCTAACAACTTAGACATTTTCCATCATGACTAACCAATTGCTACAGCCAAAGGCTGAGGATAGCGCTGTTCAAAGTTCGAACATGTACATTACGAAGCAAAGTCACGTGATGCTCCCTCATTTTACCTTGGAGCTCCGACAGCGATAAGAGTTTCTGATCTGGCAAGCTGTATTGGTAAATAGGCACGATTTGGCAACGTCAGCGCCTGCAGGCTGTTTTACAAGTGCACATTCGTTGCTGAAATCTACTCTGTTAATATTTGTACTTACTGATGCTTTCTCCTGTTCTACTGCCTTACCTAACAATTTATACTATGCCAGTGCTATAACAAAACTGTAATAGGTTTGCTATTACTATAAATATAATTTATATCTATTTATAA